TGCTATGTGTGGTGTTATCTGCGCTGCTATGTACAGTGCTATGTCTGGTCTTCTGTGCCATGCTATGTGTGGTGCTATGTGCAGTGCTATGCGCAGTGCTATGTGCTATGCACGGTGCTTTGTGCTATATGTGATATTATATGTGGTGCTATGTGNTGCTATGTGCTATGCACGGTGCTTTGTGCTATATGTGATATTATATGTGGTGCTATGTGTGGCGCAGTGTGGTGCTATGTGGGGCGATATGTGTGGTGCTATGTGTGGTGCAATGTGTGGTGATATGTGCTATGCGTGGTGGTATATGCTACGTGTGGTGTTATGTGCTATGAGTGGTGTTATGTGCTATGTGCAGTGCTATGTGCAGTGCTATGTGCAGTGCTATGTGCAGTGCTACGTGCAGTGCTATGTGCAATGTGTGGATTATGTGCAGTGCTGTGTGCTAAGTGTATGCTATGTGCTATGCGTGTGCGTGCTATGAGCTGTGTGTGGTGGTGCTGTGTGCGGTGGTGCTATGTGTGGCATAACGTTCAATGCTATGTGTGGTCCTGTGCACTGCTATGTGCTGTGCTATGCCTGGGGTCATGTCTGGTCCTATGTGCACTGTTATGTGAACAGTGTCTTTGTTCATATGTCATTAACTATGTGTGCTGCTATGTGCGGTGCTATGCACACTTCTGTGGATGCTGCTATGTGTGGTGCTATGCACGCTTCTGTGCATGCTGCTATGTGTCGTGCTGCTTTGTGCTTCTATGTGTGCTGCTATGCATGCTGCTATGTGTTGCTATGTATGCTGCTATGTGTGCTGCTCTCTCTGCTACCACGTATGCTGGTATACATGCTAATATGTGTGCTGCTATTCATGCTATGCGTGCTGCTATGCATGCTGCTATGCATACTGCTATGCATACTGCTATGCATGCTGCTACCGCTGCTGCTATGCATGCTGCTATGTGTGCCGCTATTCATGCTATGCGTGCTGCTATGCATACTGCTATGCATGCTGCTACCCCTGCTGCTATGCATGCTGCTATCCCTGCTGCTATCCCTGCTGCTATCCCTGCTGCTATATGTCGTGCTATGTGTGGTGCTACATGCGGTGCTGCTATGTGTGCTGCTATGTGTGCTGCTATGTGTGCTGCTATGTGTGCTGCTATGCATGCTGCTATGTGTGCTGCTTTGTGCGCTTCTATATGTGGTGCCATATGTCGTGCTATGTGTGGTGCTACGTGCGGTGCTGCTATGTGTGGTGCTACGTGCGGTGCTGCTATGTGTGCTGTTATGTGCGCTACTATGTGTACTGCTCTGTGTGCTGCTATGCGCCCTGCTATGCCGGTGCTATGCCAGTGCTATGTGTGGTGCTAAATGCATGGCTATGTGTGCTATGTGTGTGTGCAATCCAATGTGCTATGTGTGTGTGCTATACGCATGTGCTATGTGTAAGTGCTATGTGTAGTGGCACCTGAACAATGTCTTTGTTCGTAGGTCGTTCAGTGAACTTTTGATTTCAGAAGACCTTTTTTTTTGTAGATTATGTTACTCCTTCGCATATTTTTGTGGTACTATTCATCAGATTGGCAGACAAAGCCCCGTTAGCATGGCTTTGATGGATCGCTATCTGGCTGCAAGACCTACCTTTCTCCAGCTGCTATGCATGCTGCTATGTGTGCTGCGATGTGTGCTGTGATGCATGCTGCTATTTGTGCTGCTATCGTGCGCTGCTCTGTGCGCTTCTATAT